ATTGCCCCTGCTTTACATTCTCAGGTGGGCTGCCCTTGCCTGCAGATTGGAGGCCTATGCAGGTGCCTCCCTTTGTGGGTGCTTCAATTGCACCATATAGAAAAATGTGAGATGTTGTAGAGCAGTGGCAACTTCAGGATTCTCAAAAGCAAACCATCATTTTTTTGTGAGCATTGCAGGACATGCCAGGCAGCATGGTTTGAAACACCATGCACTGAATCTTGCCCTGATGTGCTCAGACATCATGCACTTGACTGTGGAGTCTGCAGATTCGTCGCAGGCTTTGTCGCAGAGTCTCTGATCTCGCGACTGTGTGGCTCGTCCTGGCCCAAGACAAACTGAAGGATTGGATGCCCCACCACGAGATGGCGTCAAGTGAATGGATGCCCCACCTCATTCCTCAGTCAAACAACTAGAATCACCAATCAATGTTGTGTTAAGAGAAGTCGTTTCGACACGAGGCTGTAGGCTCTACAGGTTTGCAAGGGGGTTGGAACACAGTGTGATCATCCAACATGTGCACCGATCAATGGACACAAGGTTCAATAATGAATCGACAGACATAAGCACCAAGAAATGTGTTTTGTTCCAGCACATGTCCTCACCAGGCTGGAATGCTGCCAACTTGGATTGCGAGGCGGGCAGCGCTGTGGGACTCCCCACCTTTGTGAATCACTGCAGAGTTGTTGCAAGCTCGCATGGTTGGGTTGCAGAACTTTAGATCTCGCAACTATACAACTAGATATGTTGGTTCAGGTGTCCAAGGGCTGGCGTGGCTTCAGAAGCCATTGTGATGCAGAGGCCTGCAATCTGAGTATCACAATAGATCTCTAAACTTTGCAAGGTCTTTGGATGCTTGTGCACAGTGTGCATTCTTGGTCGCACTGCTTTGTATACCGAACAAACAGATTACCAAGATTCGATTGTTTTGGTTGTATACATTGGCAACTTCAGGATTTGCAAAAGCTAGTCTTTATCAACATAGCAGGGCATCAGTATACATAGACCCAGTCGCGAGAATAGGCTCTCTGCAACAGAACCCTGCGAGTCACTACAGAAACTCTGCAAGGTTTAGAGGTGGGTCTCTATATAGATTCGTCGACATAACAAAACTGAAACTGTCGATGAAAGTTCCATGGATTGTCATGATTCAGTCATTCAAACATCCTGCAGTGCTCGCCAGCTCGCAGGACTACTTGCAGAGGATTGCAATCTCCCAGGTGGGAAACCTATAGAATATGAGTTTCATGAAGGTGACGACATTCAAATGGCCTCAAACTCGAATGTTGTCAGTCTTGCCAGACATCAGATAAGTGAATCTTAGTTTGATGTGCTCAGAAATTTGGATGTTGTAGAGCACTGGCAACTTGAGGGTTTGCAAAGAGCCAGTCTGCATGAGCAATGCAGAACATGAAATACTTGAAACGTGTTCTGATGTTCTCGGACTGTGCTGGTTGTGAAGACTGCAGATGTATCGCAGACTTAGCCGCAGAGACACTGATCTCGCGACTGTGTGGCTCTCATCAGCTTTTGTTTTGGCATCCATCCAGCCAGTTGCTTTTCTTCAGCACCCACTTGCCATCATGTCGATGTTCCAAAGCACCCACTTGCGCCTTTACAAGTGGAAGCACGTTGGAACTGCTCGCGACAGCGAGTGGCTTCTGCTAGATCAGAGTGGCCAAGTGTTCTTCGTAAGAAGAACGAAGACACAGCGCTTGGCCATTGGAGCACAAGGGTCATGGGCCATGCAGAATGGGAGGTTGCATCTGAAGGAGTTCGCATGCACCCCTGGTGCCACCTTGCGAGACCACGACTTCAGCGTGGTCAAAGCTGAGCACTACGTCGATGGCAACAGGCGACTCCTTCACGTCGCTGAGATTGACCGCTGGAAGGGTACCATCGCATGGTCTCCCACGGTGCGAGGATTCACCCGTGACCAGTGGCTCTACGTGGTCCAGAAGGTCAAAGAAGAAGTGTTGGACTTCATCGGGTGCGCCCACATCACGGTCGACACCCAGGAGGCCAGTGAGTGGCAACTGTTGTTTTAAGCTCCCGAAGGGATGAATCGTCGGTTCCTTGTGTCCCTGTGGATTTGGAGCTGACTTGAAACTTTTACCTTGCCGGGCCCAGTTTTGATTGGGTCGACAGGCCGCTTTGTGAACAAAAAAGGGATTCGTGATTCATCTGCTTTCATGGACAGTGTGGCGATACGTACACGTGATTTTTTTTTGGTGCCATCACACACACACACCATATATGTTGTGCTATATGGACCTGTGTGCAGGTGGAACGATGATGATGATGATGATGATGATGATGTGCACCCTTCAATCTTAAGTCGTTTTTGAAACTGGCAAACTACATGGCAACACATGTGAAACTTGATGAACAGAAAGTGTCTTTACGCACTGGGATCTTTGACTTGCACAAGAAATGCTTGATTGAATTTATTGTTGACCACTTCTTCTGCATGCCAAAGCGTTTGAGCGACCCTTTTGATGCAATTCACTTCCTTGAAGTTGCATTACTTGACCAATTGTCGAATGCATCATCCTTGTTTTGACATCGGAGTGTGTTTGAAACAAGAAGTGTATAAGACTGCCAAACAAGCCCTGCAGATTTTTGTTCAAATAAATCGCAGGGTTCAGTTGCAGGGGTACTACCTCGCAATTGCATTGGCAAGAAAGACTTTTGGCCCAGACACCTCGCATATAGTGTTCAACTATCACCTTGCTGATCCAAGCATGGCTGGAGCTGCCGAGTATGTTTGGGGCATGGTGATCATTGGAACCCACCGCCTCCAGAGCCACTTGCAGCTGAGCGAGGGAGTGATGACGTGCACGATCCCTGACAAGGACTTCCAACATGTGCCGCCAAGGCAGGTGGAGAGACTGGAGGCCCATGAGGATATCTTCATCCCTGGCAACGGGTATCCAGCCCTGCGCTACTTGCTGGTGTGCCGCAGCGACGATGGGCAGTCGGTCCTTTTCCGGGGACCGGCAGCGATGGCAGATTGCATCTACTGCAAGAAGATGCCGCTGAAAACCGTGGTCATTAAGCTGACTGGCCACTTGGAAAATCGCCCTGACTGGGATCAGCCCTTGATCCGCTTCAAAGCCTGGATGGCAGCGTCGGGCGAGTGTTTGAAAGCCGACGGGTGGCTGTTGCCATCTTCGGATCGGATCTATCCAAGGCAGATTCAAGACCTTGCGCGACATCACATCGAGGATTCCCATGGACCAAACGTTGAGTGGCGATTCATTGGCAGGGCCATGAACCTCTTGCCGCCGATGACTCCCCTTTGGGAGCCTCGCTGCACAGATGTCACGCCAAAGATGAGGCTGTGGAGCAAGATGGTGCCACCTTGCGTGCGCATGTACAACTCCATTGACATGGACATGTGATGGCTTCGAGCTGCCTGCCAAAGATGGATTGGCAGCAGCATTTTGTCAAATCACATTGTGGGATTCCCATGCATAAAAACAGGCATTTGGCCACCCTCGCAAAAGGAACCATGGTTTCGCATCATATGAGCAGAGTTGTTGTTTCAACGCATTCTGGGATGCCCATCTATAGATCAGTTTTTGCATCACCGCCGTGCTTGACGTGAGAAAAAGACTCCAGCCAACAAGCTTCACTTACAGTTGACAGCAAACAAATGTTCAAACAATATCTTCCTTGACAATCATCCCAAAATAATCCAAAAAATGCTTGATGTCAAAGCTGCAAGAATTCTTGCGGTTATTTAGCTTGGACTTCCTGCGAGGATTCTTTCTCTGCGGTGCCACTGCGAGTTGCCACTCTGCAGAGACGAAGCGAGACGCACGGTGCCCGTCATTTGCATACTTGTTGACATTAACTTATAGTTTTGACTAAGCCCCATTTTGTATGCAAAACGCGATGCAAAACGCTCTGCAGGTCAGCAATGCAGGTGAATGATCTGTGAAGCCTTTTTTTGGTTGGGAACCCCAAGTCGCCGGTGAATTCTGGAGTTTGATTTTTTCTGCAGCATTCTGGAGTTTCTCTACGACATTTCAAACATTGGTTAAATTGTTGGTATCAGAAATATGTATTGGCATCAGGCCATTCACCATCCAAGTTTTCCAGCACAACAGCTTTGTGGCAACGTGTCTAATTGCAAACCACCTGATGCAGCAGAGTCATGTCCTCGCTGCATCACTGAGCAGAGCTGCGTGCTCGCTCTATAGCGGATCAAGTCCAACGCTCAACACAGTGAGAGGCATCCTTCCCATACAGCAGAACACCACAAGATATACCAATGTGACTGTTTAGTAAAGTGTTTCTTTTGGAAAGGTTCAATAAATGTTGTCAACATGTTCGCTCTTTTGACACCACACTTTTCGATGCCGTTCTTGCATCTCTGAGCAATGACCCTGGCAGATTTGGGCCGCAAAAAATTTGTTTCACAGAGTGCTCTCAGCGAATTGCTGAAGGAACTGAAATCATTAGATGAACTGCCTGCTGCTACATCCAGATCCAGCGTCAAACGTGCCCGGGATGAGAAGATGAAGATCCATACGCCAGTTGGGCCCTTATTTACAACCAGAAGTCTGGCTGCGAACGATGGTGCAGGCCACATGCCAAATGATTATGTTTGCATCGATTTGATGATTGTTTGTTCCATTTGGTTATCACGGGTATGATCGATGACATGTTTCAAGTTTCTTCATATATGATCTGTATACCAGACTCTGCAGGTGATGTTGAATGCACCTTTGTTGACCCTTGTGCGCTCTTGTGGCACCTCTGCAGAAATTCTGAATCATTTAGTGGCTTCATGGAAGCAGAGATGGCTCGCATTCCGACTTCTCAGTCCCAACCATGGTCGTTGGTACTTTATTCGGATGAAGTGAGTCCGGGGAACTCGCTGAAACCGGACAACCGGCGTAACTCCTGCACTGAAACACCAGTATTTTTTTTGGTACTGTTTGTATGTTTCTTAGATGTTTGATGTGACATGATGTGACCTGAACTTATACCAAGTCCTATCAGGTAAGTTCTACGCATACTATTGGTCACTGATCCAGCACGGTCAGCGTGGCTTAACCAGGGAGGATTTGTGGCACACAGTATCTATAGTTCGCAGCAACAACGTGGGAAGGCTGCAGGGAGGTGTCAGTTGTTTGACGAAGGTCATCACCCAGCTCTTTACTCCTCTGGAATCAGGACTCCTTCTCACACTTCACAGTGGACGCAAAGTCTTCTTGTTTGGACGCCTTCGGTGTCTCATCGGAGACGAAGCCGCCTTAAAGGCGATGTGGGCTGTCAAGGGAGCAGCTGGTACCCTGCCCTGCCTGTTCTGTTGGAACGTAGTGCAGGCCCGAAGCGACCTCCATCTGTCGGATCCCAGCGGCACTTTAGTCCCCCACACGTGTTTTGACATAGGGCAGCTGCAGCTACGAACCGATGCTGAATTGGCCGCAGCGGCCTTGATGTTGTCATCTGAGAAGCCACTCCGTACAAAGAAAGCTTTTGAGACCCTGGAACAATCCCTAGGGATAAATTTCAATCCCGACGGTATGCTTTTCCATCCGGACTGTCCTCTCAAGCCCATTGAGCACACTATGTTTGACTGGCTGCATGTATATCTTGTCAATGGAATATTTCAATGTGAAATCAATTTGCTGCTCCCTGTTCTCGCGGCAAATGGCCGAAGTCATGCAGCTCTTTGTCAGTTTATGAAATCTTTCCAAGCTCCACAAGATCAGAAGTCGAATCTCACCGGTGCCATCAAAACCTTTGAGAAATCCAAGACAAAAGACGGTTGGAAACCCTTCGCCAGTGAAGTTTTGTGCACATACCCATTGCTCAGGCTGTTTGTCATGGATACTGCGTTTGTCCAGGAAGGACATATTCTGATGGCCTCATCCTTTCTACTCCTCTGTCGAATATTGGATCTGCTTTCCATGATCGGAAAGGATGTGCAGGTAGATGCTGTGACGTTGGAAGGTCTGATCCAGCGTCATCTGACAGCGTTTAAGAACGCTCACGGTGAAGACGAACTTGTGCCCAAGTTCCATTATGCTCTACACTTACCGCCCCTACTAAGACAGCATGGCCTTCTCATATCATGCTGGACGCATGAACGCAAACACAAATCGCTCAAACTTTTCGCGAACCAAGTTAGCAACGCCGGAACTTGGTACGAGATGTCGGTCTTGCGAGAAGTGACGCACAGTGCCATCAACTGCATCCTGGACTTCAAACCCAGCGACATCAGGTTGCAGAAGCCAAAGCCATCCAGGAAGATGAAGTGCGCAATCCTTGAGTTGGATTTTTTAAGGTGCATGGATGGTGCTTTTGTTGCCACTGTGGCAGACATTCACGGCTTGACTTGTCATGCAGGTGATGTGGCACTGCTACGTTTGGACGGTTCCGAATGTGTTGGGCGCGTGCATTTACACGCAGATCTTAGCGGAGGCATCCTCTGGAGTGTAGTCAGTATTTGGGAAGCCATGGGCAACAACAGATTCAAAATCACTTCACATGGACGATGGGTGGAGACCAGGCATCTTGTCTTTGGAGTATCATTATCTTTGAACATCTCCCGAAGCTGGACAATTGTATTTCAGTTCTTATATATATATATTTGGTTGAATGCCATTGGCGTTTTTTTGGGTCAACATACCATCTTTGAACATCCATTATATATTGATATGAAAACTGAATCATACTCAATTTTTAGATACCATTATATATTCCAAATACAATTCATATTGCTGAGGTCTATTCTGCGTACGCTTTACCACCATGACGAATCCGATGGTCTGCACGCGACAGTCGCACCATGAAGATTTTGAGAATGTACCTCTGAAGACATTTTGATGCCAATTTCAAACATCAGCTGCCAGAAAAAAGTCAGATAGCATGCAGAAGTCACGTGTCACTGTCAGGGTTGTGAACCATGTCAGCAGGTTGCCCACGGTGCAAGCACTTGCGTGATATAGGGTTTGCTTCAGATCACCTTCCCCTGCTTATATGTCCAGTGAATACAAATTACTGAAAAAAAAGGAATTGAAAAATATAAGTATCTTTGTTTGTTCAATTCGATTTACATATATGCCCCACAGCTGCATCATTGTATCGGTTCCTGTTCGTTCCTGCATGCCAGGCTCGTGGATGCATCGATCCCGCAGAGGTGCGAACTGTCATTTGTTGGTGGCAGCTGACACATCGAGAAGTGGACACTAGTGCAATTACTGTTTGTCGATATGTCCGGCAGTGCTTCAACGGCACGCTGCTTGACACTTGCACAGCAGAGATGTCGCTGTGCGCACTTTGCAGAGTTCAACTCGCAAAGCACTTGGAGCCTCATGTTCCCATAAAAGCAAGGGATGGCCCATTGCTTGCAGCTGTGGCTCAAAGATTTTGCAAAGAAACAGTATAAGGTGTATACATATAGAATTTCATGGCGACCCTTTTCTCTGATATCAAGGCTGATATCACTCACACCCAGGCCTTGGTCCAAGCCCAGGTGGACACGCTGGGTCACGACGAATCATTTGACCGTCAACAAGTCCTTGGGGTACAGGCTGAGAATTGCAAGCGTCACCTTCGGCAGCTGAAAACCATTTCCGCAGAGGAATGCTTTGAGCTGCAGGACCTCATCTTCAAGGGTCCTTGGAGTGCAGAGATGAAGACCAGCATGGTCAACATCCTGAACGATGCTTCCCGAGATGAGGGTGGGACCGGAAGCGAGGGCAAGCAGTATTGCCCAGCATTTGTGGCATTTCTGAGCAAGAGTGATGTTCAGAAACTAAACGATCCAGACATGGGCAACATGATGAAGATTCAGGTCCTGGCAGAACGCACCCTGAACATTGGCTTCTTCAGGCCAACTGAGCCGGGGTACAAGATCATTCTTGCTGCCGGTTGTGCCAATGGCATGACGGTGCAGCCAAGCGAGAACCTGCCCTTCATCAACGAGTTGAAGCGCTTGGTCCGTGGAGGTGCGAAGAAGCGCCCCAAGCCCAGCTCATGGTTGCTCAGGTTTCCCAACCAGCCAAGTGAACTTCCTCCTGCTCTCTTGGAGTCAGCATATGCTGCTGACGACCCACCAGTGTCTCTTCAAAACGTGGCAGAGGCAGCTGCCTTGAAAGCATCCGTAGATCTTGGGTGCCGCAAGTCAAAGAAGGCATTGCATGAAAAGACAGAGGCTTCCTCTTGGTCTATGGTTCCAGCCACTCCTGCTTCGGCAATGGGCGCAGGCATTCAGATGGGAATGCCCGGCAACATGCAGAACCAGATGCAGGGAATGCAGGGGATGCTCCAGATGTGCCAGATGATGGCCTCAAATCCAATGCTGTTCCAGATGATGAACATGATGGCAAACAGCGGGCAGCAAGAGATTCCCATCACCATGATTGGGAAGCGAAGTGACCGTGCATCGCCCTCATGCCCTGGCACACCAGCATCGTCTCCGAAGAATGACTCGCAGGAGCAAGAGGTTCCGCCCATTGAACCTGAAGAGAAGGCCGCGGAGGCACCGAAAATTCCTTTGTTCGATTTGGGTGCGCCAGACGAGAAAGACTTGAATTCAGATCTTCAGAAAAAGGCTCAATCGATGGTCGCCAGCCAGGCGAAGGTTATGGAGAGAGCCCTCGAAGAACGGGCCATGAAAAAACCAGCCACATGCAATCCAAAGGCAAAGGCCAAGTCGACCGCAAGCAAGTCAGAGACGAAGGCAATCAAGAAAGATCAGGAAGGCGGTCTCAAAATGGACCGCAAAAACATCCACTCTCGCACGTACACAGCGGCGAAGCTCAAGTTCTTGAAGCAAGGCTTCAAGTTGGAGGACGCAGTTGAGAAGGCAAGTGCGGTGGCGGCAAACGAGCTGAAGAAGCACGGCTTTGTGCCCCATCCAAAGAACCGGCCAAACAAGAAGAAGTGAGAGCTGCCGTATAGATAGGTCCGGTGCGCCTCCTGTATGAAATGGCAACGTCACGCCATTGCAGCATCACATGCCGTGTTCCTTCGGAAAGGAGCTGCATACCATTTCAGTCCAATCAAAAAAGATCTGACCGTGTGGGCTTGCAAATTTGAGTACCTGTTTTTTGTATAGTTGCCAACATGTGCAATCACAATCTATCGCTGCCACGCGATCCGCAGGATCATTGCATGGTTGCAGCGACTCGATCTGATTTTTATACCATGTCAAACCTGGCTGATCTTAATAACCCCTTGACACGATCATTCAATCATTTCACCGCATTACCTTGAACTTGCGAGAGCAACCTCTCTGCAAGAGATGACTGCGAGCATGGCTCTGCAATCACGATCGCTGCATGCGGCAGGTGTGCATGGCATCAAGCCACATGCAGGCCGTTGTATGGGTGAAGCCTGATTTTTATATGTTGCAGCAGACACACTCAGGCGATGAAAACTTGATGCATTCGACATGTTTGCACGTGAGCTGCATGAATGATGATTTTGACAGCAGATTTTTTTGTCTCGGGATAGCAAATCCCTGCAGGGTCAATTGTATAAACGGTGCACTTGTCCAAACATCTATGTTAGTTTCAAATACCTGCAGCATTCAGGCCCAATCTCACTTCAAACATTTAAACCTGCGGTGATCGACCATGGCAAAAGGACAGTTGCTGGTTCGCCCGTTGGCCTTCTTAAATAAGCTCTTGCGGAAACCTACCCAATCCGAGAAGAAACGCTGGCTCCCTCACAAACCCTGCTACTGGGGAAAAAATGTCCGCAGAAAATTTGGAGAAAAGCTGGTGCAGCTCGAATGCATTATTCATATACTGTACTTTTGTATAGGGTCAATATGATTCGGTATTTTTTATGTGCATTTTTTAATGTATTTAATAAATACGTACATCCCCCATATACATAAAGGAAACGATTTTGCAGTATTGAGAAAATATCATAGGCAAAAGAAGCGAGATAATCCCAGCCACTTGAGGAATGAGATCGCAGAGCTGCTCGCGAAACACCGCCCGGGCAGAAAAATTGGTTTTTGGGAAGCTGAGTCCAAGTCGAACTTGTGCTTGAAAAAGGGCATGAAGCGATGACCAGAAAGCGCGCGCAGAAAATTGTTTCCACTCGCGGGGAAGCATTTTTTTTTCAGACATGGAACTCACAGAGCGCATGAAGAACACGCAACCTTTTGTGCACTGATGATCTATTTGTTGTTTTTTTTGCAGGTGCTATATCATCACCTCCAAGCGCACCAGGCTGCAATTATTTCACCCGAGCAATGAACAAAAAACACATGTTCACAAACGTTTTTTTTAAAATAGGCTTTCGCCTTTCATTCTCTAGTTTCACATGGGATATGGTTTTTATCATTATTCTCCTCTAGTGAAAATAAAAATATCAACTTCTCGTCAAAAAAATATCTATTTTTGTATTCATCATTCTTAAATTCAGTGCCCCTAAATCCATAAATCCACCACCGCTAAGTCAGACTTAGTAGAGTTAGCTGAGATAGCGTAATTGGTCTAAGTCAGACTTACGAGTTACATAAGTCTCACTTAGCAGAATTACTAAGTATGATTTATCACAGTTACTAACCCACGTAAGCCCAACTTAGCTATGTCACATAACACAGCTAATTCACATATTAAATCGCCTAATACTTACTAACTTTAATAACCATTTACCAAGCACCATGAACATCCAAGTAGTCGGAGTAGGAGTCGGAGTAGGAGTCGGAGTCGTACTCGTAGTCGTACTCGTAGTCGTCGTCGTAGTCGTCGTTGTAGTCGTAGACGTAGTGGTAGTCGTAGTAGTTAGTAGTTAGTAGTTAGTAGTTAGTAGTTAGTAGTTAGTAGTTAGTAGTTAGTAGTTAGTAGTTAGTAGTTAGTAGTTAGTAGTTAGTAGTAAGTAGTAAGTAGTAAGTAGTACGTAGTACGTAGTAGGTAGTAGGTAGTAGGTAGTAGGTAGTAGGTAGTAGGTAGTAGGTAGTAGGTAGTAGGTAGTAGGTAGTAGGTACTAGGTACTAGGTACTAGGTACTAGGTACTAGGTACTAGGTAGTAGGTATTAGGTAGTAGGTAGTAGGTAGTAGGTAGTAGGTAGTAGGTAGTAGGTAGTAGGTAGTAGGTAGTAGTTAGTAGTAGTAGTAGTAGTAGTAGTAGTAGTAGTAGTAGTAGTAGTAGTAGTAGCAGTAGTAGTAGTAGTAATACTAGTAGTAGTAGTAGTAGTCGTCGTCGTCGTCGTCGTCGTAGTCACCGTAGTCATCGTAGTCGTAGTCGTAGTCGTAGTCGTAGTAGCAGCAGCAGCAGCAGCAGTAGTAGTAGTAGTAGTACTATATAGTTGTGGTTGTTGTTGTTGTTCTTGTTGTTGTTGTCGTCGTCGTCGTTGTCCTTGTCGTTGTGGTTGTTGTTTTTGTTGCCGTTGTTGTTGTTGTTGTGGTTGTTCTTGTCGTCCTTGTTGTTGTTGTTGTTTTCGTTGTTGTCTTTGTTGTTGTCTTTGTTGTTGTTGTGGCTGCTGCTGTTGTTGCTTTTGTTCTTCTTGTGGTTGGTGTTGTTGTATAGTCGTAGTCGCAGTCGTAGTCGTAGTCGCAGTCGCAGTCGTCCTCGTCGTCGTCCTCCTCGTCGTCGTCGTCGTAGTAGGTAGTAGTTAGTAGTTAGTAGTTCGTAGTTCGTAGTTCGTAGTTAGTAGTTAGTAGTTAGTAGTTTGTAGTTAGTAGTCCGTAGTGAGTAGTTAGTAGTTAGTAGTTAGTAGTTAGTAGTTAGTAGTTAGTAGTTAGTAGTTAGTAGTTAGTAGTTAGTAGTTAGTAGTTAGTAGTAGTAGTAGTAGTAGTAGTAGTAGTAGTAGTAGTAGTAGTAGTAGTAGTGGTAGTAGTAATAGTAGTAGTGGTAGTAGCGGTAGTAGTGGTGGTAGTAGTAGTAGTGGTAGTAGTGGTGGTAGTAGTAGTAGTAATAGTAGTAGTAGTAGTAGTAGCAGTAGGAATAGTAGTAGTAGTAGTAGTAGAAGAAGAAGAAGTAGAAGTAGAAGTAGAGGTAGTAGTAGTAGTAGTCGTCGTCGTCGTCGTCGTATAGTCGTCCTCGTCGTTGTTGTTGTTGTTGTCGTTGTTGTTATTGTTGTTGTTGTGGTGGTGGTTGTTGTTGTTCTTGTTCTTGTTGTTGTTGGTGTTGGTGTTGTTGGTGGTGCTTGTTGTTGTTGTTGTTGGTGGTGGTGGTGGTGGTTGTGGTGGTGGTGGTGATGCTTCTTGTTGTTGTCGTTGATGTTGTCTTTGTTGTCGTTGTTGTTGCTGCTGCTGTTGTTGCTGTTGTTCTTCTTGTGGTTGGTGTTGTTGTAGTCGTGGTCGCAGTCGCAGTCGCAATCGTCGTCGTCGTCGTCGTCGTCGTAGTAGTAGTAGGTAGTAGGTAGTAGGTAGTAGGTAGTAGGTAGTAGGTAGTAGGTAGTAGGTAGTAGGTAGTAGGTAGTAGGTAGTAGGTAGTAGGTAGGAGGTAG